CCTCTCTCTCTCTCTCTCTCTCTCTCTCTCTGTATGCAATAAAAAAAGTAATGAAACTGTTACAAAGAAAGCCATGCATAGCTATGATAAGGCAATATGTTTCTCGTCAGTTACCACACAATTCCTTAGCTCAATGAAGATAGAATAACACTTAAAACCTCAAAGAGCTTCATGACATGCTCACCTATTTCTCCAGGCTTGAACTTCACAAAATCACAATGAGCCTCCTCTCCAACATCCCCTCCTTCAAGTTCCTCCTTCCTCCGAATATCGTAATGTGGTAAGATGACAAGATCATCAATACCACAAGTGAAGCCATGAAGCTGAAGAGAATGAGTAAACTTAGATGAAAGATTTACCCAAGCACGCATGAAAAAGAAAACAAACGTGTCAGGAGAAAGAAATAACTAAAACAACATACTGAACCTGCAAGAAAATAGTAAATAAACGACTCAGAGCAGAAAGTAAAATCCCTGCTTTGTTGGCCCCATAAAGCTCCTGAATTGTATGAACTAAACCAAATTTTCCAAACTGAGCCTTGTCAATTACACCACGCACAAGCTCATTTTTCCAAATTAAGAACTTATTTTCAGCGGTTCTATCTTCTTCTTCTTCTCTTGACTGATACTCAGCTAGGCGACTCTGGCTCAGGAAATACGGATATGGAATTTTCCCTTTGTTTTTCACGGTACAAGGTGGACTACCCTTTGTCAGATGATTTAGTAATGCAGTGATGACCTACAAATAAGAAGCTAAAATGATCAGTTCACTATGAAGTTGACTTTTATGATTACTCTCAAATCATGTTGAAAGTCTCAAAATGAGTGCATAATGAGCTTGTTTTTGCTAGTCTTCACCTGCTTCCCTGTCCAAAGAGGCTTTGGTTTCCAGACAGCAGGCAAGATAGTTTGTACAACACCTTCAGAATCTACTACAGAAACTTTATTTGAATGATTTCCAGAAGTTGAACCAGGCCCAGCAGCAAACACACCAGATCCATACAGAAGCTGGTTGAACTCTTGAAGGGTTAAAAAAGTATTCTTCATGGTAAGAAGCACTGCACCTACAATATGATCCTGGAGAAATGAATACAAGTCAAAGAACTATTAAGAGAAATACAGAATAAACAGACAACAAGAACGAATCATAAAAATTTCTGGTGACAATGTCCAGTTTGGTTACTCAAACCTGAATCAGGCCTCTAACTGTATCTCCCTTAGTCGGAACAATGTACTGTTCGTTAGCATTTACAATGTTATATGCTTCAGCACGAGAAATTTCATCTTGTGGAAAGTGGACATTCATTTCATCACCGTCAAAATCGGCATTATAGGTACTGAAGCAATACAAGAACAGATTAGTTCTGGAAAGGTAATTTTGTACCATTACAAACAAGGAAAAACTGATAAGAGTTCCAACCTGCAATTAGCATAGTGCATGCGAAGAGTTTTTTCTCCTTTCAGTACACGGACAACATGAGCCATTATACTGGGCTTGTGTAGCGTAGGCTGCCATCAATTTTTTCCAGTTAGACCATGTGCAGCTATAAAACAACACGTAACAAGGCAACACAAAGGAGCTATGTATACCCTTTTCATTGATCACTGTCGTAAATATTTTTGTTTATGCAAGTGAAGCACCAAAGAGAAAACCAAACAATTATGTACCAAAAACTAGAACCAGCTCATTTTAGCCCGCAAAAGGTTAACACAGCGCAGTTATGGGTATTTTATCACTGTCCTCAATATTTTGTTTATGCAAGTGAAGCAACAAAGAGAAGAACCAAACAATTATGTACCAAAACTAGAAAGAGCTCATTTTAGCCCTGAAAGGTCTTCAACTTGGTCACCACATCAACATAAGTGGACCCAAGTCACACGTCACTGCTTCAAATATGTGAGATCCAAAAAGGAACCACAAGTATTCAGGATGTCCTTTGAATCCTCCAGGCAATTTAAGTGGTGCATTTAATAGGCCAATAGAACAGCTTGTCCAGAATACCTACCCCAAGGCCATGACAACTAATGCAACCTTTTTTAGGCAAGTAGTTTTGATCTACTACATTAATATTCTATCGCAAGCACTACAGTACAGCTACTATGAGGGCAATGAGGGCACTACAGTACCGCAACTATGAGGGCAATGGGAGGTTAGTCATCTAGCTTAACTCAAGATAATATGCAGAAAAGGGGAATTACACTTTGCTACAGATGCTACATATGTGAGGATGTTTTGGAATCTGTCAATCACCTCTTTTACATTGCAATCTTACATGGCAGAATGCTCCTCAACATCTTTGGAGCCAGCTGGTTATTGCAGTTCATTGCAAAGACTTGCAGCTTTGGAGCAGTTCCTATATGCATATTTTGGAGTATTTGTCTTGATCGAAATTGCAGATGCTTTAGTAAGAAGAAAGAGCTTATGTCCTCTGTACATCTAAGAGTCTTTTCTTATGGTGTAAGAAGAAAATGGTCACTGATTTTGCTTTTCTGTCTGAGCTTATGTACTTTTTCAACCTATAGAAGGAACAAAATTTCCTTGTACTACTTCAGTGCCTCCTTCGTACATATTTAATTAAACTTTTACCCTCTTCACAGGGAAAAAAAAAACAACACAGAAAACTGTTTACTATGGAAGGGCTACAGCAAATTCACAGTTAAGAGTGCTTATTCTTTATCGTCTTCTACAAAGAAAATGTTGGCCCTGGAAACATATTTGGAGAGTCTGACTACCATTTAAAGTGGCACGTTTTCCTGGTTGGTAACTAAATAGGCTTACCTGACCCAGGAAATCCGTAAAGGAGGGAAATACAACTAAGCTGCAGATGTTTTTTATGTCATGCAAATACAGAGAATAACAGCCATCTTTTTTTACATTGTAGAGTTTCAGACCAGCTGTGGCAGCTTTTTACTACACTGATTCGCTTCAAATCGGTTATGCCTAAGATTACATATGACCTTATGTGTTGGAATAATGTGGGAAGTAATGTTAGGCAGAAGTGGTGGAAAACAATCCCAGCATGTATATGGTGGACTGTGCGGGAGGAAAGGAATGCAAGGTAAAGAAAACTATGTAGAGGCAGCTGAAACTCTATTAGAATTTTTAGTACCCTAGTATGAAGAGCAAGCTCATATTTTTGCTTTTTAAAATTGTAAATATGGCTCCAGCACAGCCTTTGTGTTGATTATTAATATATTGTTACCTTTCTAAGAGAAATGAACAAGAAACAAAGGGAAGGACCACACGTTTATTGTAATTTTGCTTCGTTTGTGCTATGAATAAATTAATAAAAGCTTAGATACCATTATATTTAATGAGCTAAACTACTGAAATTGTTCCTTTGCATCTAAACCCAGGCAATCACATAGTTATCTCAATGAAATTTGATATCCTTGTATGATCCATGTTATAGCTAGCAAGAGTTACAGTGACATATCCATTAGAACTACTTTTTCCTTAATTACATCACATCATAGTTGCAGATGACTAATCTGTTAAACAACAGGTTATTTTGTTAATTTGAAAATAGTAATTGCACCTCTAGAAGGAAGCGTAAAATACTGCATACAATTGGCTCCGCAAACTGAAGCAAAAAGCTCTACCTGCCGATTCACAAGGACAATATCCCCATCTTGCAAGTGCCGGTAAACAACTTTGCCTTCAAATTCATACTCATCGTTCCTCCCAGACTGAGTCACTGCCCCCCTTGAAGAAGGCAATTTTCTAGATATTGCCATACGGACTTTTTTGATATTTGTACCATTGCCTGACGGCAGTTTCACAGTAGATATTCTATCAGCAAAAGAGAGAGCCCCAGGATGGTTTTCAGGCCCGTTGATGATAGCATCTCTCATTTTACCAGCATTCCAAGGAGTCACCCTCTGATAAAAGAATGAGATATCAGCACAGAACGAGCAAGTACAGGTAATGCCAAAAGTTAAGCATTCAGCTCGAATATAAAAAAAAGATGTTCAGAATGCTACTCTGCTTTTTTACTCTTTAGTCATTTTTTATTTTTCATTTTCTTGTTTTCAGGTAATTAATATAGCCAAATTGAACTACATGAGTATAACCTCGCAAAAAAAGTATAACTCGCTATTGAACAATACAGGCAAAGGGGATATATTTGCTCTAACTGGTTCATTATTCAACCCATGTAAATCGAATAGGAATCCTATAACAATCCTAGACACCTCCATCTAAGCAGCTTAGAAGAATCTCGGACATATTTAAGCAAAGACAATGTTTTCCATGGTTCCACTGTATGAAGCTTCGCTGACATTTATCTTTACAAAGCATCAAATATACCAGTAAATTAACAATTGGAAACCTTCCACTCAGTTGTTATCAACCCTTCCGCTCAACTAAAAGCACACACTGCAGGCGCTTCAACTTTAGAGCCATCATTTTAAAAAACATAACCTAATACCCCCACCTTTTTTCATTTATGATATACAAGCATGACCTTTGAAGACTTCTTGGTCCTGCCAAATAATTGTAATCTCTTCGTAATTTATTTTTTTGAGAAAGGAAACAATAAAGTTAATCTCTTAGTTAATAACACCAGCTTTAGTAGTTTTCTTTCCTGTTACAAGTGCATAATTAAACTAGGGCACATAATCAAGGATGCACAGAATATCTTGATAGATTCAAATCTGTTTGACTAAGAAAATCTTGTTGGTACAGGATCCAACACTATCCCCAGACAATAGCCTTGACAATAGCCTTTTGTCTTTGATTGCTTTTTGGTGCACCCATGAGATCCCTACTTGTGTAGATGATTGGTCCTCTTTCGTAGAGAATCATGTTTTGTTGTAGATTCTCTACCTTTTGATATACCTCCTGTTACGGGAATTTTCCAGTTGTTGATAATATTATTTGCCTTGTCAAAAAAAATCTTTAGTTGGTTTCCAATTGTTTTAGGGAAACAACACACTCTCTAGTTTCGTATTAGTTTAAGAGAAAAATGGAGTTCATTTTATAGCCTTAATGTACACTAGTCCTTCTACCACCCTCTACTCCTTTGCTCCAAAAATATCAGTACCACCAAACTGCCTTTAACCTCATATGAACCACTCGGGGACATTGGTTTTGATTTCACGTACTGTGGTAGCGAGATTAAAGTGTGCATGTAAGAGTTTGAGAAAGTTTTGCACAGGGTTAGAGGCTATGCAAGCCTACTGCGTATATTTTCTTTAATTTAGCCAAGACCATCAAGAAAAGGAATTTGAATACATTTAAGTTAAAGAACAGAGCACGATAAATACATTTTCTTTAATTCAGAATTTTCGCAGAATATGAGGAGAAATGCATATAATAAAAAAAAACCAAAACACAAATAAAAAAGAGATTAAATCTTTTTAATATTGTGCGAGCAGAAAGTTGAAAGTTGAATTTCTTGTTTTTTTAACTTTCTTGATAAATAGGGAACAGTAGAAACAGCACAGAAATTTTAAAATAAGTAAAATTAGCATATTCACCAATACCTCAGGATAGGTTAATCTTAAAGCAAAATATGGTGGAACTCCAATTTCATTGACAGACAAATACGGATCCGGAGATATAACTGATCGGCAGGCAAAATTGACTCTCTTTCCCATCATTTTCTGGCGGAAGATACCTTCTTTCTTTTCCAACAATTGACATATGCCCACACCAACATCTTTTTGACCTGGACCTGCCATTTAAAATAGAAGATGCTGCTAATCAGCCAAGAAAATGATTGTTGTCGGACCAACAGATCAGCAGCAATAGCAAATAAACTACAAATCAGCAGCAATAGCAAATAAACTACATATCAGCAGCAATAGCAAATAAACACTATAACATCATCACGCAGACAACAATGCAGAGAAAATTAAATGTTATTTTCAAAAGGAACACGTGTAGACCCTTGATTTATTTAGAGATTAAATACCCTGCCACATACATGCAAATCTACAGAAAAATAAACCAACTAAAATTCAGATAACAGGGATTCTCAGCTGCGGTCAAGTCTCAAGTCCATTTCTATTTGGATGGTTGTAGACCTAGCAAAGATGTTCACTCTAAAGATTAAACTTTTAGATGAAACGGTCACATAATTTAACATGATATCTAGGCAAAAGTCATGGGATCAAGTCTCATCGTCACCCATTAGCAAAAATATTTTCACGTGCTTGGTACTAGAAAAAAGAATTTAAACCCGTACAACATAAGGGGGGGGTGTTGAAGACCCAAAATAAATCAATAAACGTGTCCCATCTCTAAAAATTTAAATTTTTAAATTGAATATAGACGGATTATCAACAAACTGACAATTTTCCTACTTACGGTGGTCAACACAAGTGAATGCGACCTCTACAATTTTGCAAGACAAATCAGGATATGCCATCATAGGTCCCAACTGCATCACTTAAGGCGCTTACAAAATGCAGACCTAGTTCTCCTCTTCCAACCTACAAATGGCAGCTGTATCTGTCAGACTGTTCTCTGACAGGTTTGGGTAAGATATCTGTTTAGTGATGCCTATATAATAGTCTGGTAAAAGAAGAAGTAACTCCGGGATGTGACCAGCGTTGATAATACTCCGGATAGTATATGTAATAGTGTGTGTGTGTGTGTGTGTGTGTGTGTGTGTGTATGCTAGTTATTAGTATAGTTGTAACTTTTAAGGAGCACATGTGCAAGTCTTCTGTACATCATGGCACTTCCTTGGTGCTCTTATGAATAAAATAAAATTCCAAATTCACAAAAAAGGAACTTTTAAAGAGCACTTAGTACAACTTAAGCTTGTCGTGTAGGGATATTGTTGATGTTACAAATTTTTGCTCATTGATTATCAATTAAGGATTCCAAAACTTACTGAAAATTTCTTAATATTTGAAGAATGGCCATGAGATTTATGTTTACAACCATCCATTATTTGCCAACTAAGTTCTCAACTGAGGCTGGAAACCTAAAGTTCCCAAAATTTAGAACGTCGCCAATTCAAGAGCCTGAAAGATCCAGATGACAAGTATAAGCCACACATGAATCTTCCAGATCCAGAAGAGACGGGCAAGTCAAAGTTAAACTAAATACTGCCTTCCAATGGTTCTAGAAAAAGTACTAACTAACCAGGAAACAACCCCCGAGTCAAACAATTTCAAAAGCAGTGTCTTTTAAAGTGAAAAGCTCAAAAGAGTAACATGGTCCAAGGGTCTTGAAGCGAAAAGCGAGAAGTGAGGTGCACGCTTCTTTAAAGTGAAGCGCGCAATTTAAATAATAACGGAAAGTACCATACATGTATGAATTTAGTAATACGCTAATCAAATTTTCAATTAAAATGACTAATTTCAACATCTCATACACAATAAAGTTGATATTAATCCAATTCCTCAAAGTTGAGATTCAAAGAATAAATCGTTTCTCGTTGGATTACTTTGCGTGTCATTTTGAAGTGCATGCTTATCTAAAGTGCATGGCTTCGCCCATGAAGCGATGACCCTCAGTTTGCATCGCTTCATTGCTTTAAGCAACGGCTTTTAATAACACCGTTTAAAAGTAGCACTGGTAGCACAAAAGAGAAGAATAAACTCACCAGCAGCTGTTTTGCTATCAAACAGCACGTTTACAGATTGTTGAAGATCCATCAAGCGGTTAATGATCTTAGACCTTCCAGCCTGGTTGCTATGGGCATTTCCCAAAGCTATATTTGACTGAAGGACCTTGCCAAGAAGAACAGTATGTGGATGTTCCATAACCTGAAGAAACATCAAAACTTAAATGTAAGTTAACAAGGGATATAATTAGAAGGAGAAAAATTCACAAACCTCCCCTGAGGTTTTGGCAAGCACACAGCAAAGGTTAATTTACAATTAAGTCGTGTTATGAGTCATTGATAGAAGGACTTCCCTAGAAGAACAGTGGCCTACAAAAAGATATGGAAGTCAAATGCACCAACTAAAGTTGCTGTTTTCTCATGGATTATAGCCCACAACGGCTGTCTGATACAGGACAAACTACAGAGGAGGGGATTTCGACTATGTAATAGGTGTTCTTTAATAAGGTAATGTATATTGAAATGAGCGAGCAAAATGCTGGAAAAGAAATACAGGCAAAAGCCGAAAAACATTACAAAGAATGTAAAATGCAAAAATAAAATCAAGCATGGCTTCAGGCTCTTAACACATTTGACATTGCCATGCTGCACCAAAAACTAAGCAGGAATAGACAATTCTGTTTGAGCTTAAGTATATTGCCATTCTTGTCTTTAAAAATTCTAGCATTCCTTTCCTTCCAAATTACCCAGCAGATAGCTGCAGGAATAGTGTTCCACATGGGGAAGGAGGACTTAGCATTTGCTTCTCTCTGCCAAGCCATCAAAAAATCCAGAAGAGGTGGGATATCAACAGATGTGTTCTAGTAATCCCATGATAGATAACTGGCCCTGGAAACTTATTTGGAGAACCAAGCTGCCACCAAAGGTTATCTGTTACACCTGGACAGCATTATATGAGGCATGCCTCACACAAGATAACCGGATGAAAAGGAACTTCCAGTTACCTAACAGATGCTACATGTGTCAAAAGAAAGCTGAAAGTACCTGCCACTTGCTCCTACACTGTGAGGTGGCTTCAGACATATGGTACATGTTTTTTTGCCTTTTTGGTCTCAAATGGGTCATCCCTTACACAGTCAAGGACGCTTATAAGAGCTGGAGTTTATGGAGAGTCGATGAAGCCATCAGGAAAATCTGGTCAATGGTCCCTGCTTGTATTTTCTGGTGCATTTGGACAGAGAGAAACAAGAGATGTTTTGATGGAAACTCAACTTCTATAGGTTCTTTAAAGGCTATGTGTATTGCCAATTTGTTCTGTTGGTCTAGACTGTACCCTATCAACAATATTGATCATCTTTTGGATTTCATTAGTTCCTTAGCTCCATAGCCAATTAAGTATAGGAGCCGGAATACTTTTTGTAAGCTCAAATGCCAAATCATGTACTTCTTGCATCTTCTTGATGCCATCTATTGAAAGATTTGAATATGTGAGAAGATAACTCAAAAAAACTGTAGGCATGGGGACAAGAGGGTAGATGTGAATATGTGAAAGCTTATGAATGAGTTGAGGAGAGAAACATAAAGCTAGCATACCTCCATAAATAGAAACATAAAGCTACAGCTAACATCTACAGTATCCACCAAAAGTAGGGGACAAGACAGAAAAATATTCAAAGATTTTGAAAGATAAATTTCATTACTGCTGCTTACATACAGGATAAAGATAGAGTAGAGAGATTCAAGTAACCGTGAGATAAAGACCTAATGTGAAATATCATTTTTCAGAATCTGTTCATGATATAGCAAATATCAACCAAGTAAGAAGACATACTATACGCAATATGTGAAATTGGCAAATATAGATGCCAAAATAACCTCCAGAAAAGCTTCACTAGTCAAGAACTTTAATAGCATATGTTTTTGTGCTGTAATTATACCAGAAAAAACATTTTTTGACAAGGGACTATTACACACAAGTTTGAAGAGCACAACTTCTTGCAGTACATGATTCGTAGCCAGACTGACAAGACAAAAAGCATAAATACAAACTTAAGAAATTTTGGAAAGGTGTTCAAAATGCTTACTGAATCACCCCCTTTGGCTGGAGGGCGGAACCTGATTGGAGGTACAAGAATGGACTCCAAAAAGAACATAGAGGGCCCAGCCACCTTGATAGGTGTATTAAGGTGCTGACCCTGAATATTACAGAAGAATGCGCAAAGACGAGCTTCGTTTTCCCATAAATGCTCTATAATTTTCCTGACCTGTCAATTATAGCATAAAAAGATTGCTAAAGAGAGCACCAAATGTATATAGCAACTAAGGTATTATTATCATCAGAATAATTATGCCAAAGACTATAAGCTAGAATACATGTAACTACTAGCTTATGGCTCACGGTGGAAGCCATACCTGAGACGGTAAATGAGCTACTGAAAATAAGTCTTTCTGTTGCATCACAATAGACTCCTCATCCCCTTGCCTTCCACGTGCCATAGAATTTTCTAATCTATCCGAGGAAGCCATAGATAAGCTGGTTTCAGCTTCCCCTAATGGCTCAGTGCCATTTACCACCTCAGGGGAAAGATTTTCCTCGCTTCCACCAGTGCACTGCAGATTGAACGTTTGACTTTTTTTGATATAATTGAAAATAATTTGCTTACTTGAAATATCCTGCAGAAAACCAATTGAGCAGAAAGCAGCAGTTTAATACTTCATAACTGCAAGGTAATCTGTATGCCTGTAGAAGTAGTGCTGCTATTTATTTAATTCGAGAAAACATTTCACAAAAGAAATAAAAAATCATAGCAACTAATAGGCAAACTCCAGAAATTAACAGAAAACGTTGAGGATATATGATGCCTGCATCTGAACATGATCCTATGAGATCATGTTGAAAGCAGGTATTTCTGAAGACATTGTACACAACAAACATAACAAGAGTTCCCAGACAACCCAATCAAGAGTACCTTCCATTGTGAAAGCTCCACAGTAGGACAAATTTAAGAAAGGGTAGATATAGAAAACACAAACATGTGCACTCATGCTCAACCAGAATTATAGCAGGATGGACAATAGTACTTCGAAAGTTCACAATTAAAACAATAAAGTACCAGTGGAAATGGAAAAATAGCCACAATTAGAACATGTTAATAACAAAAGTTTATCCAAATAGAGAAGCCCCCAGGGCCCTGGTGGCAAAAGAGCAGCTTGTGATTTGTGGGTTAAGCACACGTCACAGGTTTGAACCTTGCCGCAAACAAAAGCCTGGTATTTAAGTGGAGAAGGGTAGAAGGACAGGCTTATTATCCACTGAGTGTTCGAACTGTACAGGACCAAGACAGAATACTTGGAGTATAAGTTCAGCGGCGAGACTCTAGGAGGGAAGGGGGAGGTGAGGCTGGACTCGCAGGTCATCCCTAAGAGAGGGAGTTTTAAGTACCTCGGGTCTATTATTCAGGGGATGGGGAGATTGATGAAGATGTCGCACATCGTATTGGGGGGATGGATGAAATGGAAACTCGCTTCCGGTGTTTTGTGTGACAAGAAGGTGCCACCGAAACTCAAGGGTAAGTTCCACAGAGTGGTGGTCAAACCAACGATGTTGTATGGGGCTGAGTGTTGGCCAGTCAAGATTGCTTATGTCCATAAGATGAAGGTAGCAGAGATGAGTATGTTGAGATGGATGTGCGGGACACCAGGTTAGATAGGATCAGAAATGAGGTTATTCGCGATAAGGTGAGTGTGGCCTCTATTGAGGACAAGATGCGGGAAGCACGGCTTAGGTGGTTTGGTCATGTGAGGAGGAGGAGCACAGACGCCTCGGTGAGGAGGTGTGAGAGGTTGACATTGGAAGGCCTACGGAGAGGTAGAGGTAGGCCAAAGAAGAGGTGGGGAGAGGTGATTAGGCAAGACATGGCGCAACTTCAGCTGACCGAGGACATGACCCTTGATAGGAAGGTATGGAGGTCGAGAATTAGGGTAGTAGAGTAGGTAGCGTAGAATGTTCATAACAAGGACATGACCCTTGATAGGAAGGTATGGAGGTCGAGAATTAGGGTAGTAGAGTAGGTAGCGTAGAATGTTCATAACAAGGACATGACCCTTGATAGGAAGGTATGGAGGTCGAGAATTAGGGTAGTAGAGTAGGTAGCGTAGAATGTTCATAACATTAGTATTGGCACGCATTCTCGTTTTCTGTTGGTAGTAGGTTTTTATGACTAACCGTTATTTTCTTTCATTGTTGATCACTTTACTGTCTTGTTGTTTTATTCTGCTTTTATATGGCTTTTTGATATTGCTCCTTCTTGCCTATATTTTCATTAATGTGGTACTTATACTATCCTGAGCCGAAGGTCTATTGGAAACAGCCTCTCTATCCTCACAAGGTAGGGGTAAGGTCTGCGTACACACTACCCTCCGCAGACCCCACGGTGTAGGATAATACTGGGTATGTTGTTGTTGTTGTTGTTGTTCGAACTGTGCATCACTGGTCCTTGGGATTTCTTGATTATCAAGAAAAAGTTTATCCAAATAGAGAATGTTAAGTTGAACATGTTATAGGCAGTGTTTTAAAAGGCGTGGGCGTAAGTCGAGGCGTTTTACATATGCCTCAGCGAGACGTAAGCCCCGAGGCACGGGGCGTAAGCCCCATAGGTATTTGATTTTTAATATTTTATAAAATAATATAATTAAAGTAAATATTTATAAACATGTAAAATTGCATAAAAATGAAGAAAACTATAAATATGTAATATATATATATGTGTGTGTGCGCGCGCGCGCTCTTCATCCCCACAAAAAACTAGTCAAAACAATCTATTATACGCTACTTAAAAGCTCAAGTAACTTGAGTCGAAAAGAATAAAGTTTTCTACATTGGAGGAACAAAAAGGATGACTAACCTTCAATTTGAACTTTGAACTTGCTGCTATGAAGGAGAATGGAGTTCTCTTTGTATTTGTAAAAAACAAATTGAATATACGTTGCTTTTGAGAGATATTAGTAGACTAGCGGACAAGATAAAGAATTGGGAAAGACCATGAATTGGGGTTTCGATCAATAAAAAAGGTCTTGACTTTTAAATGTAATACATTTTAGTTCCTTTTTAAAACTTTTGAGTAATTACTAAGCTTAATTTTGAAAATTTGGGTATTATATGAAGGATTTATTCAACAAATTTTGTTTTAATTTGAAAAAATCTCTAGGGCTTACGCCTCACTAAAAAAACTCGCCTCGAACGCCCGGGCATACGCCCCGAATTGCTGGGCGTACGCCTCTTGAGACTTTCGCCCCACACCATCGCCCCGGGGCGTTTTTGGTGCGCCTCGCCCCAGGGTTCGCCCCGAAAACGCCTTTTATAACACTGGTTATAGGAAGCTGCAATTATGGAAATTTGCAGGACGGCTAAAGCAACACTTGCAGATATAAACAAATAAATCATGCAATATAGACCGAGAAAAAGAACAGTTGTCAAGCTATTTAGTTCTTCACCTATTGAACACGGTTTTCTTTTTTTTCTTTTTGTTGTACTTTCACTGGGGATCGCAAGTTGCGGAGGGAGGCTAATTTTAAAAAAAGAATTTGTGATAGCTTATACTAGGGAAAGAGGACTTATGTTTCAACCTGAGGCTAAACTCTGTAGGGTTTGAATAAACACCTGTTTGACCACCACTAGATTAACATCTCACCAGTCATGCTCTCGAGGTTAACAACCTTTTTTAATCAGTAAAAGGTAAAATTTTATTTAAAAAAACTGTCAGCCAGTACCAAGATGATACTGCAGCATTCAAAAAATAGCCGACTGGAAGCAGATCCCTCAAACCTGAAGGGAATCTAGGAAATCCAGCATTACATCAACTGAAAAATCAAAAGAGGCACTACACCATAACTTTAGATTCCGAATACATCTATTTTTAACAAAACTGATATTCTCCTTGCTTCCTTTAAAGCACCTATAATTTCTTTCAAATCCAGCCATACTGTCCACACAACCAAGTCGTCTTCTGCTTTTCCTAAAAGGTTGTCCTTGTCATCTTCATAAAGCTTGCTTGATGTTGGCAGGTATCACCCGATGAATCCCCATACAAGTTCAAGAACATACACCATATTTGCCAAACAAACCTGAAATGCAACAGCAGATGATTCACTATCTCCCATTTTTTCTGCAAAAGTAGCACCAGCTGCAAAGATTAAATCCCCTTCTCTGCAAATTTTCCTGCCTCAAACATGCTTCATGTGTTGCAATCACCCAAAGCAAGAAACTTTGCTTGGAGCCATGGTTTTCAAATAACTTTCAAAGGCCACACACCATCATTTCTAGACAATTTCTTCAACAACAGCTTACAACAGGAGCTCGCAGAGAAAATTCCATCCTTCTTTCCTAACAAGAAAAATGAATCCCTTGCGAACTATCTACCACAATACCTTCTGCAGCATTTAGTAGAAGTCCAACTCTTTCTATTTCACAATCACAAAAAAAAACCTTCTAAAGAATTTGGACCATTTCTCGATTTGTGCGTCATCCTTGCGCAGGGGCCATGCTAATCTTAACAGCCTAGTGTACATGTAATAAAGCTTTTATGAAACTATCCATATCTTCAATTGGTTTCTCCCAAGGCAAAGAGGTGGGAAATGGTATTGACTTAAGGAGTATTTATTTGAAGAGGTGAGAGATAAAGTATTAGGAACGGAATGCTGGCTTGAAGAGGTAAGAGAGATTGTATTATTCTACCACATGCCCAACAGTCGATCAGGCAAGAACGAAGAGTAGACGACCATGGGAGATCAGAGTTTGAATCAACCGAGGCAAACAAGTGATTTCTTTCCATCTACTTAAACTAAACTTTAATGGGCAGAGTTACTCGATACTTTTCCTCGTGGAAGGATGTAGCACGCGTTGGACAGTCAAGGTACACGCAAGGTGACCTAGAAACCAACGTCATCCCCCAAAAGAGAAAAATTTGGTAATTCTTCCGCAGAACCATGAATGGCTACAAACTACAAATTTCCCATATGTACCTAAGTGCTGGATTTGTTTCAGAGCACTGTCGGCAATAAAATGATATGGCATGCTATTTTTTAGAAAATGATACGTCAAGCTTAGGACAAAAAGCATCTATTCTATAACACAATCAATACTTCATTCAGTAACATCAGAAGCTCATACAACATGACATCCAAGAAATCTGAACAATGCATCTTTTTTTAAAGGGAATCTGAACGACGCATTAAAGAGACCAATGTGATGCAATGAACCATACCATATGAAACCGTCCAAAACTCGGTTTATTGATCTTTGGATTTTTAGTTTCACAATTGCTGCATTTCTCAGATTTAGTCTTGAGAATTCTATCGATAACTGCCATAGCTTCAGTAAACTGGAAATTGTCCCAAGATGGCCTCTTATTGTACTCAGAACGATCTTGCAAATTTAAATCATCCGTTGTACATGACATATGGCTCCCTTCACTTTCCTCCCGATCAGCAGAGTTATCAGGAGAGAGAACATCCATGGTTTTGGCCCCAATAACGTCACCCTTTGCGATTAACTCTAATTCAGAGACACACTTTTCAACCTAACTCAGACAAAAAATGTAGAGTATTAGTAAGGAAAAAATATATTGCAATACAAGTGCTAAAGGAAAGAACTAATAATACTTTCTTAAAAAGACTTGCCTCTTCTTTTGATGCCCTAAAATGAAAGCAATAAAAGCATGTTCGTTGCAGAAGATTGTGCAGCATATTGAAAAGCAGGGGATTGAAGACCGGCGAAACAAGTTCAATATGACCACAGTGACCAGGGCAGCGAACTGTACCTTGACCACATGACTTACATCTGAACAGGTCATTAAATAGCGAAATCAACAGAAAGACATAAGAAAGAAAAAGCATCCAACAGAACAAGAACAAATTGAACTTCTTTTTTTGAGAAGGTAACATTTTTTGTATATGCATATATTTACTGGACCAAGGTACTACAGTCAAACAAATTGAACATAACGAGCTACAAACATTTTCCATGCACAAATATATTTCTCAAATATATTAACTTAACCAAAAGACAAACAGTACTATAATTATCAAATTCAAATCATTACACCAGCACTTTAGCATAGTGTGGCACTCAATAGAAAATACACTTCCCAATCAAGTTTGGATTTCCATAGAAAGAAATCCAAATAGTTAACAGGTGCTATATGTGTACAGAGGAGGCAGAAACTATCAATCATCTATTCCTATACTGCGGAGCTGCCACGCAGTTGAGGGCCTTGAGGCAATTATTCTTGAACATCTTGGGACTTAAATGGGTGATGTCAAGCATTACTGCTGAGTTACTGTCTTGCTGGAATAGAAAGAGACTATCAAAGCAAATGAAGAAAGATTGGAATACAATACCAGCAGCTATTTGGTGGCGCATACGGAAAGAGAAGGACATGAAAACTCATTCTTGAAGATCAAATCAGACTGCATTTTGTCAATATTTTTTGGTGTAAATATGATTGGACAGATGATAGTGAAACCCTGCTAGAATTCATAGAATCTTTTGTATGGACACACAGGGTTTTCTTTTTCTCTCTTTGGTTATTTTCTGGGATGTAACAACAGCACTCACTCAGTGCTGGTCTTTTGATATCTATAATACCTTACCATTTCTCAAAAAAAAAGTTAAACAGCATCTAAATCCAGATTTTAAGATATAGATGTTTATGCCTGTTAGCATCTTCCTGTAAGCTACAAGATGTGTCTGATGAGAACAGCACGGTTGATTTCGTTGACTCATTACAGGAGCACAAGGGGAGCCCTTTCCTTTTGTTTTTATATAGGGGAGCCTCCCATTTTTGTGATGTCCAGCACAAATTTTGTGCTCGGCTGCTTTCTGTTAATAGAATTTAACTACTGATCAAAAATATATATACACACACATCAATTTACTTATTAAAACAAATGTCAACTTATGATTAATACTAACAAAATTTACAAAAACTTACATCAATTTACCTATCTAAGCAAATATCAATTTATGATTGAAGGTAACAAAATTTACAGAAGCTTACTGAGATCTCTCACTAAGGGGACCCATTGCTGGATCGTAGAGCCCACCGGGCAGTGGTCCGCCTAATGTATCAAGCAAGTTAGGGCTTGTGACTTTTATAACACTATGCTTACGAACTTCTTCATCCGTCATAAAACTGAAGTGAACCGCCTCAACGGCCTCTGATGCACCCTATAAAAGCAGCAATCGTTCTTGTTACATAACCCCAAAAGAATATACATCCAGAATACATGTAGCCTAAAGTATTTTTCAGACAAAGCAGATAATGTTACTGATAGTATACTATCACCCTATTAGCACTTTGGGAATCAGTGGGAGATTATAAGTATAACAAATTAGTGACATGGAGCATTTACGTGAAGCTAACATGTTTCAAACAGTATGGCTAAGTGGTCAATAAAGTTGGGACGAACCATGGAAGACCAAACAACAACAACAACAACCCAGTAAAATCCCACTAATGGGGTCTGGGGAGGGTAGTGTGTAAGCAGACCTTACCCCTACCCCGAAGGAGTAGAGAGGTTGTTTCCGAAAGACCCTCGGCTCAAAAAAAATAAAAAGACAAAATGACAAAAAGGAGACAATATTAGTATCACAACAACAATCATAGGATAAATAGGAACACCATGAAATCCAGAAGAAAGATGCAAAGCAAAAGCGATAGCTAGTAAATAGGACATGCACTGAAAAGCGAAATAGTAAGCCACAACATTGCCACTAGCTATCTTACACAAAAACCCTACATGGCTAGTCCCACAATGGTACGAAGTAAGGCACGACTCAACTACCTCCTAACCTACGACCCTAATACTCGACCTCCACATCTTCCTATCAAGTGTCATGTCCTCGGAAATCTGGAGCCTCGCCACATCCTGCCTGATCACCTCTCCCCAATACTTCTTAGACCATGGAAGACCAAGATTTGAATAAAAAACTAGGTAATTCTTCTCATCTGCCAAATTCTTGGTGAACAGAGTTACCGGGTATCTAGGTTCCAGAGGTAGGTGAGAGGAGCAACTACCAGGTGGAGGTAGGGGTAAGTTGACCGAACACCTCAAAACATAAACAAATAATAAAAATTACGTAAGTGGTGGAGCTAGCTCGGAGAAAGAGGGTTCATTCAAATCCCTTTTGATGAAAATTATACTGTGCAAATAGGTTAAAAAGAAGTTTTTTGAGCTATATATAAGCTGTTAAATCCACTGAGGAAAAATTATAATAATAAAGTGGCAAAGAAGGTTCAAAAATTCAAAAATCCTTTAGGTCATGACTTCAAATTCTAGGTGTGACATTTTTCGAATCCTCTTTATATAAGATCCTGGCTCCACCACTGGTATACACAGCTCAGAACTTCAAATTCACTAAAAATTATGTTTTATCGTTGAAAATCATTAAGAAAAAGGATAGTTAAGCATATAGATACCATTGATTCTGCCGGAGAAAGAATAATACGAGGAGAGGTTCGGCAAAAAAATCAAAAGAACAAAAACAAATATAAACTAAAAGTTTGAAAATAAAAAGAGATACCTGAGCCATCTTCAAGTTCCAGTTGGAACAATTTAAACTTCAATATTCAACCCCAGCTTGGGAAAATTAAGCCTGTAAATATTTGAGCTGGAAGGGGTGAAGCAATACTTGTGGAAAATTTTTGTAAGAGAAAAACAACTAAACCCACTTCTCTCTGCGCCGTTAGAGGGAGGGAAATTGACGAGATGTTTTTTTGTACTTTGGCTTGGAGGCTGTGGAGGAGGTTTGAAGAAAAGGGGTTTAACACCAAGGGTTTAGTAGCAAGTAGCAACAGCAGTATTAATATTTCTTTTGCTGCTTTAATAAATAAAAAATAAAAATTCCTCTCCCCATTTCCACTGTCCTCACTCGTTTTCTTTGTTCTTTTTTCTTTTTCTTAAACTAATTTTAGGATATAGGTTTTGCGTGTATCTCATATTAATGATTATGAATACACATTTTAAAAAAATATTATTAAGCATTGTATTTACATATTTTACTGGATACGAAATTTAAAAAAACAGAGAAGACTTTAGTACTTATAATGTAAAATGAGGCACATATATTTTGTGTAGATATAAGGGTAAATTATTTTTAAATAAAGAAAAGAATTTTTTTTTACGGGCTAAAAAAAAAATAATTTCACGTAAATTAAAACGAAATAAGTATTTAGCTAATTCAATAAAGGAAAATGTTGGTCGGCTCGGCGAAGGAATATGTCTTATTGTGATTTTTGCCGTTGTCTCCAATTAATGAAGTTATATGGTAGTCTTCTTTTCTTTCTCTCCAAATCCATCTCTCTTTCTCTCTTTCTTTTAATATTCTTAATTATTTTTTTGTTATTTATTCTAATTGTTGATTATAATTTTTAAATATTGTGCAGAAAAGCTTGATAAGGAAAAATATATTACTCGACTATAAAGTTAAAAGAGTTCAAATATTAAACTATAGTCATGTTATATTATTTAAATAAAAAAATTATACTATAAGATAATTTTAATTGATTTTGAAATTCTAAATAACAAGACTTTTGACACAGTTTACATAAAGAAGGATTTACAAACTTTTTGTTGGTTTTAAAATTGGATATGAAACCATTTTTGTTACCAAAACTACCTAGCTTTCAACTTCTTGATTTTGAAATTCATATAGTAGGACTTGTAAATAGTTCAATAAAAGAAACGTTTAATAATCAATATCTTTGTTGATATCAAAGTCCTATATATAGAAAAATAATTAAATGGCATTTTTTACCAAAAAATATTGAATGAGATTTTTATTCAATGTGAAATATTTTTTTTAATAACGTTGATTCATATTATAATTTCGTGCTTTTATAATAGTACATTGTATTTTCTCTGAAACAACAAAATTATATTTTTTTGGAATATTTTATGAATATTATTGTTATTTATACAACCTAATAACTAAAAAGATCGAATATTTGTAGCAAGAGATGATCATGAACAGGATACATAAAATATTATTCATTATTTACCTGAAATAATAAAAATTGACAAAATTCTGGGTGGATGCAAAGTCACTAATTGCCAAAATACTTTATACAATGTTTGGATAGATTGTGTCGTTTGTCATCGTTTCATGATATCACACACCAGCAATATGAAGAATAAACTTGCAATATTATAAAGAAAAATTATTATACAGGGTAAAACTACTATATAAAAAAGTAGGGTAAATGATAAAATAAAATTATTTAATAATAATGAAGGGTGAGATTGAGATAAAAAGACAAGGTAACGACGCGATCACAACAAATCAGTCATTACATAAAGTGGCACATTTCGTCGTTATGTAACGACGGATTTATGTAATAACCCGAAAAATTTTGAAGTACTTAATCGCTATTAAGAAAGTTGATGTGCGCTAATTATATTATTTTGTGTGCAGACGAGGACTATTAATATGATGAATATCAATCGGATATGATAATAAGTGTACGAGGCATATTATAAGTGGTGTGGGGTCTAAGGAGAGCCCTAAGTCTAAGTTAAGTTGGAAATTGCATGATAGATTAAAAGTTCCAAATGAGTATGCACAAGACCAAACTTTGGACGAGTATATCTACATATATAAGGAGTTATGTGATGTATAATCTATCAAATGAAAGATCTTTGAGTCTAGTTTCTAACGCTTCAAATCGTTCATCATTTGGACACACCTACAAGAAGTTATGACCAAACTACCAAAGGGTGGAAGAATGTGATTCTGCGGTCAAATGTGCGACCGCAGAATCATTATGCGGACCGCAAAAGTGGTCTGCGGACCTGTGATGACCCAAAATATCATATTTAAATTTAATAAGTAATTCTGTGTTCTAAGACCTCGAAAAGCACCATTTATCCTTTCTCGACTTACGTGCGCAGTCCGTAAAATTTTCTGGAAAGTTTTCATGTGAAAAATGAATTAAAACGTGAAATAGAGCTTTAAAATTCAAGTGAGTTGACTTTGGTCAATATTTTTAGCAAACGGACCCGGATAAGTATTTTAACAGTTCCGGTAGCTCCGTATCGTGATTTGGGATTTGGGCGTATGCCCGAAATTTAATTTGGAGGTCCCTAGCTCAAGTTATGACCATTTAACGGAACTAGCAATTTAAAGGCTAAATATTTAAAGTTTGACCACGGGGTTGACTTTTTGATATCGGAGCCAAAATCCGATTCTGAAAATTTGAACAGCTCCGTTATGTCATTTATGACTTGTGTGCCAAATTTGAAGTCATTCCGGATTCATTTAATATGTTTTGGCACGAGATTTGCAATTTGAAAGTTTAAAACTCAAAGTTCGAATCGGGGTGTGAATTGTAATTTCAGTGTTGTTTGACGTGATTTTAGACCCCGAGTCAGTCTGTATTATGTTACGTGACTTGTTGGTATATTCGAACGGGGTCCCGAATACCCCGAGAGTAAAACGGATCGAAATCGGAACAAGAATTGGACTTAAGCAAAATCTGAAATTTTGAGTTCCGGTGTAATCGCACCTGCGGAATTTTGACCGCAGGTGCGAGCTCGCAGAAGCGAGACTTCCATCGCAGATGCAGCCTTCGCAGGTGCGGCCCTTTTGCGCAGAAGCGGACGTCGCAGGTGCGACATTTTGTCCGCAGATGCGGAACCTCGCCTGGCAGCCCCTTTTCGCATATGCGAGATTTTTCTCGCAGGTGCGAGCTCGCATGTGCGAGTCCGGGCACCGCAGATGCGAAAATGCTGGGCAGAATACATAAAATCGGGTCTTAGCCATTTTTACTCATTTTTGAGTTTTGAAGCTCGGATTTGGGCGATTTCAAGGGGAATTTTTACGACTTTAAACTGAGTAAGTGTTCTTTATCATATAGTGATTGTATTTCACAAATCCATGTCTATATTCATCATTTATTTCGGATTTAGATGGAAGAAATTAAAATTTTCGTAAAACTTTCCAAAAACAAAAAATTAAGATTTGAAGGTCCATTTGATATCAGAATTGGACAAATTTGGTATGGTTGAACTCGTATCGGAACGGGTGTTCGAATTTCGCGAGTTTTTCTGGGATTTAAGACGTGGGTCCCATTGCCGAATATTTTAATGAATAAAAGGAAAAGGTGTGGTTGAATAATTGATTGAAATTTTCAAAGTGAGGTAAGTGTCGGGGTTAACCTTGACTTGAGGGAATAGAACCCTTAAATTATTTGTTATGTGAATTGCATGTAAACGACGTATAGGCGAGGTGACGAGTGTCTATACGTCGTCAAATTAATTGTTTGCCTGCTTAATTGAAAAATCATAAATTATTTTTAATCATAAAGTAATTATTATAATGATTGTTTCTCTCTTATTCTTTGCAAATATAAATTCTTAAATTCCTGCATTAATTGTTACATGCTATTTGAATTATGTGCCTTAATTGTTATTTGACATTTAGCATAATAAATATTAAACTGCCTAATTGCTCCCTGATTTTCATAATAATTTGCCATTTGTCATTGTTTGCTTCATAATTAAACCATAATTATTGTATGCTTGTTGTCTCGTAATTTTATATTAATTGTTACTTTTATTGGGAAAATTTCTTCTATAAGAATTAATAAATAAAATTGTTGGAGGAGCGGGTTGCACGCCGCAACATGATTGATTATAATGACGATACTGCTAGGACCCATAGTGGTCGTTTCTTGCTGTCATTTCACTGATTTCATTGATATTTCGTACTCAGTCATATTCATACATTCATATCATATCTCAGTCTCAGTTGTTATTTATTGATACATTATATCATTGTTGCCGGGCTAGTTTCATGACATTGTGTGCCCGTAAGTGAGACTGGAAAGATTGATGAGTGAGTGAGGCCGGGGCCTGTTTGTGAGGATATTGATACTATAGCACGTGAGTTGTCCGTGCGGATTATAGCGCTTGGGCTGTAGGAGGCTAGGAGCCCCTCCGGAGTCTGCACACCCCGAGTGAGCACAGTTGATTTATATATATATATCATGAAAACATGCCGTAGGAGGAGTAAAGTTATTCGGTGATAAATCGTGATAAATCGTGAAGTCTCTACAATAACAAGTCTAGTCTCAAGTAGAAATGTAAAATAAGGAATTAAACAAGCAAGGATAATACCTATAGTACAAGTACAACATGTGTGAACCTAAGTCTACCCGGACAACAATATGAATCTAACTACGTATGGATTCTCGTCACCTCTTGCGTACGTAGTCCCCGCAACAAGTTGCACCCATTAAATACATCACCTAGGGGTAGTTTCCCCCCTCATAGAGTTAGATAGGAGACTTACCTCGCTCCGAAGTTCCATAACCAGCTCCAAAACCCTCTAACACCTCAAACTGATGTCCGTCACTCCAAAACTAGTCAATTAAGATGCAACCCAATCAAAATGTACTCTAATACTCATAATTAATCAATTTATAACAATTTTCATCTTCGCTCAAAAAATTGATAAAGCAACCCTCGGGCCCACGTGCCCGGATTCCGAAAATTTTTCAAAGAAAAACACTACCCATAGCACTACGAACTCAAATATATAAATTATTCTCAATTTCATGCCCAAATTCGTGATCAAAATCCAAGAATACGAATTTCTAAGTTTTTCTTCAAAATTCCAAATTTCCACAAATTTTCAAGTTTAAATCCTTATATAATCCAAATATTTAACTTGAAATAGGTGGGAATCACTTACCATGACATAGATGACGAAAATCTCCCTTCCAAGAGCTCCAACAATCGCCCAACCAAATGAAAAATGGGTGAAATGAACCCAAACCCCATT